CAGAAGCTGTTGGGACATATGCATGCACTAGTTTATCAAACTTGTCTGCAGCAGTTTTTATTGGGTATGTTATTTTGATCATCATATCCTACTTCATGACTGTAGGTAAAACCCACTTGCAGATCAGTGAGCAACAGGCTATTCTTGCCTTATAATATTCAAATATTTATCACTCAGCATTCATATTGCTATCTGCTCCTTGCTGGACATTTTCACACACTTCACAAAAGACATTTGACTGCTTAACAGGGAAGTTTTATCAGAAGAAATGCAAATTACTATTTACAACACAGTTTTAATTCTCTATGCCGCTTCTCTGTTGGTGCTTTTCCTAAGACTTCATTTAGAGCTTCAAAATGAGGATTCACCTTATAAATCAAGAGTATATATTTCTCGTAGAGCTTGCATTCGCTGTCTAGATGGTTGAAAGATGTTAGATTTCAGCACAGTCCTTACGCTGAGCAAATTCAGATTCTCACAGAAGACAAAGGTTTGAAATTCTTGAGCTGTGTCTTCCCCAATAACACACTGATGAATCAAGTTGGAAACGAAGGCACTGTCTGCGTGATATCCTCCTATCTTCACTTATTTCCAATAAAATGAAATGAAGACAGTACAGTAGAGGAAAGCAAAACACATATAACATCTAAAGCAACTTTCTTCCTGTACCACATCTTAAGGTATTTCTTTTTACAGAAACTCAGCATACTCAATAGAAATGAAGACCCAGAACAGCAATTGGAGCATCAGGAAGTGGCCCGTCAAGCCCGAGAACTGTGATAAAACAATTCCTCCAAGCCTTAGTTTGTATAAGCACAAGAGACCTTCTATTTTTAGCAGGCTAATGACAAAACTGGATACAGCCAACTGGTTCACACGAGTTCTGCTGAACCTGACATGCCTTACCCAACCCGAACAGTTATAAAGAATTCTTACCAATCTCACACAGAGAAGCTGAGCAAAGATACTGAACTATATCACCATGAAAGCTGGGAAGTAATTATTTCAGACACCCTGGACAGAATGTATTAATGTCTCTTACAGAATTCAGGTTAAAACCTGTGCAACGGATTATCCTTTTTGTATTTAAAAAAACCCAAAACAACAGTTCTCAAGAACTCTCCCTCGTAACAAATAGGTATGGAGTTCTTTTGAGCAGCTATCCTTCAGAAACCTGAGATCTTTAAACATGAAGGCCTGTTTTTGTGGTGCTTACAGTGGGATTTTTCAGCATAATTCATGCTGTCTCACAACAATATAAATTTTTAGTGAACACAGGTGTTCAGTTAAGAAATGCAACTTTTTATTTTTAAAATATTGTCATCTTGGAAGTCCAAAAAGAATATAAAACCAAGTATTTTCCTTCAAATTGTAAACTTCTTAAAGAATTAGTCTAAGCATATTTCCACATTTATTTGGGCTAAGAGTAGCTGGTTATCAACCAGCACTTCACAGTTGTGTAGTTCCATACCACAACCCAATTGTGTACGGCTCTCAAGAACTAGTACACACAATTACATCTTTTTTTAAAAAGCATGGAAATACAACTTTTGCTGGTGTTTCTGAGTAACTGGTTGACCATTAATGAGTTAGTTGGCAGCTTCAGGTTTGTCCGTACATCCGTAACACCAAGATACAAAAAAGTGAGACACTCTGCAAGTGAATACTCCAAGCACTTGTAACTGCACACCAAGTTTCAGTGCAAAAAGGACAGAGGTCGGGAATAGGATTGCTGTGTTGTCCAAAGAGTTGAAGGGTTGAGGGTTTTTGGTTTGGGGTTTTGGTTTGACTTGGTTTGGGTTTTTTTATTTGCTTGGTTTTGTTTGTTGGTTTTATTCTGTTTTTTAAATTCCTCTCTTTTGAAGAAATTACTCATTTTAACTTTAAAAGTACAGCACATTTGCTGTAAGGTTGGACTCCAAACCAAGTTATTCAATGGTTTTGGTCACTACTAGGGAAAAGCGACTAGACAAGCACAAGAAATTTCTCGATTGCCTTTTTCTTTTCTTTAAACACAGCACTGGTGATAGTTATTCTAAATTTAGATATGTACCCAGAATTAGAACTGTGTCTCTTCTAAATCAGATCTCCCTCCACATTCTCCTTGGCATCCCAGCACAAAGATTAACTTACCTCCTCTTGCTGAATAATACTTTTCAAAGCAGTACTTTCTGACAACAAATAATGTATTTTTGTAAAAAATAGTTTAATTTATTCTAAAAATTGGCACGTTGACTAAAGATTCCTCTGAAAAGATTCTATGGTATAAAATGTAACATCTCTAAAACATCAAAGTTCTCAGTTCTGAAGCATATGCAACTTAGAACTGCTCCACATCCTGTGCAAAAAAGATGCAATGGGCAGGAAGCAGCAGATTTCAGTAGTTTCAGTGCTTCTCGTATTATAGTCCTAGAATCATTTAAGTTTGAAAGGACCTTTAAGGTCATAGAGTCCAACTGTTAACCTAACACTGCCAAGTCTACCACTAAATCGTGTCCCTAAGCACTATATCTATACATCTTTTAAACACCTCCAGGGATGGTGACTCCACCACTTCCCTGGGCAGCCTGTTCCATGGCTTGACAACACTTTCTCTGAAAAAATTCTTCCTAATATCCAATATAAACCTTCCCTGGTGCAACTTAAGCCCATTCCCCCTTGTCCTATTACTAGTTACTTCAGAGAAAAGACCTCACCTCACTATGACGTCCTTTCAGATAGTTGTAGAGAGCAATACGGTCTCCCCTCAACCTCCTCCAGGCTAAACAAGCCTAGGTTCTTCAGCTGCCCCTCACAGACTTCTTTCCTAGAACCTTCACCAGCTTCCTTGTGGTTCTTTGTACACACGCCAGCACCTTGATGCCTTTCTTGTAGTCACAGGCCCAAAACTGAACAAAGTACTTGAGGTGGGACCTCACCAGTGTCAAATACAGGGGGACGACCACTTCCTTAGTCCTGCTGTCCACATTATTTCTGACACCAGCCAGGAAGCTGTCGGCTTTCTTGGCCACCTGGGCGCACTGCTGGCTCATATGCAGCCAACTGGCAATCAACATCCCCAGGTCCTTTTCCACCAGGCAACTTTCCAGCCACTCTTCCCCAGGCATCCATGATCACTCTGCCTGAAGACAGCCTCCAACCTTCACAAGAACCACAAGTCCTCCTCTGTTAGTGAACAACAGGTCTGGCGGGGTGGCTTCCCTCACCATGTCAGGAAGTGACCCTCCACATACTCCAGGAACCTTCAGCAGACAGCTAGTAAGCTGAAATCCTGCATGAGAACAAAGGCCAGTGACTGTGAGACTCTTGCAGCTGTATTACAGGATTTTGTCTGTCTCTTGATCCTGGCTGGGCAGCCTGTAACAGTCTCCCACTGTATTTTTCCTGTTGGCCTTCCCCCCCCCGATTTTTACCCCTAAATGCTCAATCCTACTACCACCATCAAGCTCTAGACAGTCCAAACACTAACATACAGCTCTATCCCACTGCCTCTTCTCCCTGGCTTATCCTTTCTGAAGAGTTCACAGCCATCCATTGAGACACTCCAGTTGTGCAACTCACCCCACCACGTTGTTGTGATGACAACTGTATTGTACTTCTCCTGCTTGCACAGTGGCCTCCAGCTCCTCCTGTTTGTGTGCATTGGTGTAAATGCACTTCAGCTGGTGGTATATTGATTCTGCATCTTTTTAGGGGGAGAAGCCCTAACTCCTACATGACTGACCTCAGGCTCTTCAATGCTTTCTAACACATCAATAATTCTTGTGGCTTTGCTGCCACATGGATCTCCATCCCCCACCTTCACTGAGATGGCAGAGCAATGGACCTCGCTAGCACACCATCCCTCAAACACTGGCAGGCCATCTCCAGGCTTATCTCCATCAAGCCTAGTTTCATCCCTCATCCCCATCAAATCTAGTTTAAAGCTCTTTCAGTGAGCACTCTGCAAGGATCCTTTCCCCCTCTTCAAGACAGGTCTACCCCACCACCACTACAGAACACAACATGGTGTTCTGTAAAGCAATGCATGATCAAAAAACCCCAAAATCTGCCTGTGACACCAGGCTTCCTCCCCATTAGCACTAGAAGTAATTGCTACAAACGAGTGCTGGTATTTATTAGCAGCAGGCATAATAAGGCTGAACTCATGAGAAACAAGGCACATGTACTGGCTTGTATTCTTTTTTAAAAGCAAGTTTGGCTTTGGAAAGAAAAAAATGCTTACGCTTCTGTAAAAGTCCAGGCAGAGATGTCTAGTCCCAGTCAAACTGAGAGGTAACTACAAACACGTGGAAGTCACCTGTGTAACATGAAAACTAGCTAGACATCAAATGTTTGCAAGTAAAGTATCAAAGTAAGCCAACAATGAAAATGTTGAAATGTTTCTACTTGCTAACTGTAAAGATTTTTAAAGGTATCAGATAACTCACTCTTATTTTAAAAAATAAATTAATATTTTTCATATTCTTCTAAGTAAATTATGAAAATCTAGACCAGTGCAATGTGAATTACAAGAGTAATTCAGTTATTTTTCTAGTTAAAGGCATCAGTTCGGTACATTTGCATAGTTTTACAGTGTGATTTGATTAAGCCTCACTCAGATGATGACTTTCTTATTTGGGACATGCTGCTGTGAACACCTGGCAGTGCAAATCCATGCTATCCAAGTGAAATGTAAGAAGCCAGTGGGAGGGGAGAGTGAAGCAAGTGATGCATCAGAAGAAATAACAAAGTCGATTGCCACATTTCGACATTACCCTTTTTAGCACGTAAGCACTTAAAGTTACCCTAAGTACAAAATTTAATAAACTTACAGCCACTATACAAATCTGTGGTTTTTAAACTTACAAATCCCACAGGCACATTTAGGCATCTGAGCAGCAGCTTACAAAACACATTCTGAAGGCAAAGAACAACACAGTAGCACAAAGTCCAGTGCTCTCCTCACGTTATCTTTAAACAAATTTCTCAGCCAGCCTCATCTGAAATACGAACTTCTTCACAGGTTATGGCCATCAAGGATTTTAAGAGACTTATTCTGTTTTCTTTGCTTGTCTTTTCTTAACGCCATCAGTGTGTTGTTCAGAGGACCGGTCACAGACTGAAGAGCCATTGGAAGATGCAGCCCCTTCACCCTTCCCTTTGGAGGGCGTCTTTTGCAAGCCAAAGAACATATAGCCTAATGCAGCCTCAAAAGGAGCAAATGGAGAAGCTGAAGATCTTCTCAGCATCATTGTTACCTATGAAGAACAAGGATCAAGTCACAATGAAAGTTTTAATGACTTCACAGCAATTGAAAATAAGTTCAAAGCTGAATGGATGTATGGCATTTCTAACTTTGTACAGTAGCATGAGGCCATGCCACCAAGAACAGGAACACATTCACTGTAGCTTGAATTGATCAAAGAATGCTTTTCTCGCTGACCTGTGCTCTTCACACAGCTATACACAAGCAATGTGCACAAAAAACTTTCTGCGTATTTACTAAAATCATCCCAAGAGTAAACCACATTTTATGTCGTACAGCTCAGGTGAGGAGCAACTTCGAAGTCTTAATTTCTGTACCTTGGTCAAACTGAAAGATAAAACAGTGGTGATTTCCATTTAAACTGAAACAATGTAATGTGTAAGCACCTAAATATATATGTACAAACAGACTTTAGTTAGAATTCCAGACAGCCATACTCATTCCATGAAGTTTAGAGATTTAGGTGGAAATTCTTCAGAATACGTAAGTTTGAATCGGTGCAGAAAAAAATGTTTTGTATATCCAGGTACTGGACAAGTTTATATTGCAACAGTTTTAGAGTTTTCAGAGACCTGAGACTTTTCTGGAACAAGGTAGTATTACAGGACCATGCCAGAACTGCAACTGTTGCTTTTTTAGTGAATTAAATGCTCAGGTTCCACACTGTGGGTTTCAGAACTTGGTCACTTCGGTGCAGCCTGACAGCCAGCTGCTGAAGACAGCTAGAAATTCTCACCTGCAGAATAACATTCCTTTCCTACTCTAGTCCCAGCACCCCCAGTTCAACAATGCCTTTACTGGTTTGTTTACGTGTAGAATCAGGAGCACAAGCTTGAAGTCTCACCTTCCAAAAGGCAGCTTTTCTAGAATTAAACTTGTCAGCTGCTTCACAGAAAGGAGACTGGCATCTTCAAGACACACTCTGGTTTGTTCAACAGCAACCCTGAAGCTCTTAAAATCACCAGGCTTCTACTAACACAGACTACACTTTGTTACTAGCTAATAATTCTAAAGACAGGTATCATCCTGGAAATGAACAAGACTGGAGGAATTGAAGATAGCATTAATTACTTTATTATAAAAGTAGTTACAGCTACTTCAAAGTGGTTTTGATACACTTTCTCCTCCCACCTAAACGCTCACATTGTTAACACTTTAATCTACACGAGAACCTAGTTAGCTTGTTTTGCAAACCCACAAATGACTGCCCAGGTACAAGGAAGGCTTAAGTAGCTAGCAAAAGGCAGAAAACAGAGCTTCTTTCTACAAGCAAAAGTTCTGTTTGAGATTATGGACTTATAACCCTGACATTACCAACTGCTGGGTGCCAAAATTCCTCATTTTCTTTTCCTTTTCTTTCTCCATATATTGAACAGTATCAGTAACAGGATAGGTTTTCTGCTCTGCTTATGTATAGAAGTTTAAACACGGGCTTAAGCTTTTGGTTGGAGTTTGCCTTCCCATCAAGGAACACAAATTTGAGCTGGTGCTAGAACGCTGGGAGGGCATTTTTAGTTCTCTGAAATAATGAAATAAAATATTTTCTTTTATTCAGTTATTTGCAACATACTCACATTCTTACCTTGGAGACTACCAGAAAGATGGTGTAGAAAAACATGAGGCTATGTCTTGCTATTGGCAAGTACTTGCTGTGTTGCAGGGTGAAAAGAACAGCTCCTATCAAGGTTACCTTCACAGGGCTAGAAATCAAACAAAAAAAATGTTCATTTCCTCTCTCTACTCTACAGTGAAAGCTACCCTGGCCTGGAAATAGATATTCTTAGGGTGTAAAAGAATAATTTCTCAATAGAACTCATGAAAACTTGTGGTAACAGTGACAAAGTCCAAAACCTAGCTATAATTGTAGTAAGACTTTAACTTTCTATACTATCACTATGCTTCTGTTCCATAATATGGACAAGCATCAGGTTCAGCACTACTTTACACAGGAGCACACTTGTATTTGACAAATCCTCCTCAAATCAATGCATCTGTTCAGACTCTACATACCAGCTTGCTCCCCTTCTTCCTCTCCCAATGTACCTTACTGAAGAGTTAAGTCACAAAGCTTGCACTACCCAGACAAGACTTAAAAACAGGTTCCTCTGCTGTACACCAGGTGTTAGTTACTCCAAGGAGTTGCTTAAGGTTGAAGAACAACATAGCCCAAGTCTCAGTTCACTGTGACATCCCAGAAGTTCCAGGGTTGTAATCAGCTTATATGAGCTAGGCCTATGTTGCCAAGTTTTGCCAGCATCACTCTGTTGACCCAAAACACGCAAAGATTTTTATCATCTAGCTATCTTCATTGTGGTGGCAAAATCCCTTGCTAGGTATGCAGTAAAAAAAAAACAAGAGAAAGAAGAAAAACAAGAGAATTTGGTCAGTTATCTGAAGTCATCTTAAGAGAAAGTACTAAAATACTGACAGAAAAATTCTGCATGTTTCGTTCTGTACATGTGACATCTACAGGTGACATTCCTATTATCATAGAGCATCTAGTGTGGACACATTCTTCTCTGTCTGTTCAGAAACTCAGAAATTTACTGCATCAACTTCCCACTCAGGAAGTCCAAAAACAACTCTGTGTACACAGGCAGCTCATCCATTTGCAGGATGTTTGATCCACTTAACCTTACTTATACTTATCCATAGCTTTCTTCTACTTAATATTCTTAAGTTTTATATATTAAACAATAAAAATCCTTTTCTTGTTAATTTGAGCCATATCCACCACGGACTTGTTAATTTGAGCCATATCCACCACGGACAAGGAGAATATATGCAAGCACTGCAGGAGTCATTAAGCTTTGATTAGTGCTGCACCTGTCAGTACAGTGTTATTTGGGTTTACATTCTTGACAGTGACCTCTCCCTTTTAGAAGTCTGCTTTCAAGACTGCCACTTACATTCTAAATTCTAATTACCTGCAATATCAGAAAAAGCCCACAAACACAAGCCATAAAAAGTTGAAATATTTCCAGTGGAAAGGCTACAAATTTCTCTTCTGTTATTCTATTGCTATGAGTAGCAGCAGAAAAGCAAGATAACTTAAAAAAAAAAATAAAAAATTGTGATTTTTAAAGACCTGAGAGTAACATGGGAAAGATCAAACTAATTTTAGGAAATCACCACAGTGAGCTCATCTTGACTTACAATAATAGCTTGTGGCTGTCTCAGTTGTCATTTTATTACTGTATAGACTAAACTGGGAGCCATGTAATATTCCCCTTCTTTGCCTCTGGATTAGAAGCAACGTTTCTTATGGTGCAGTATATTTCTGCTATATTGAATGATCAGTTTGCACTTTCTCCAAGAATTGATCTCTCTGGAGGAAAACAATACTGGCAAAGTCAAAGTGACAAAGGTCAAAGGAAGCCAACTTAGCGATGCCCAGAACATCCTCTAAAAATGCACATTTCACTTGTGCACTTCTGGTACTGCTGTCCTTCCATTTTGGATAGAAGACCATATCCCTGTAAGACAAACTGAGTCAATACTGCTTTCCAGCAACTTCCTACTGACTCAATACTGCTTTCTGCAAATAACTGTTGTTGACTAATTTTCCCATTTGGTGTGCTTGTGCCTAAAATGATTAAAACATCTGCTAAAATTGCTGAAGATCAAACAATCTTGACAAGATACGCACCAAAACAGTAAGTACAAACATGACCTACTACTTGTTTTGCTTTGTTATTTTTTACTTTGACCCACTAAAAGTGATAGTCAATACAAACAGTTAGTAAAACAACAGTTAACAAGTGTAATCCTTTTTAAAAACTTACTAGGACATCTTCAGGAGTTCATTGGTTTCAGGTTTCCACACTCCTCTCACCAGCTGCTCAAAGTTGGAAATTAGGCCACCACCAGCTCCTGAAAATGCAGAGATTTACAGTAAGCCTCCACTGGCTGCTACCACCACTGCAAAACCTATTATTGTTCCGAGAAGAACTTGTTCCACCAGATGCCAAATGTGGCACCCGAAGCTCAGACTTAGAGAGACTAATCCAATCTTTTATATGCGCATGACTTGAGTGACTGGCATGAAACCTCAGAGGTTTTAGCTACTTAGCATGAACCTCAGATTTACCTTTCTGTGATAGCATCCAAATTGATGCACTCACCACTACAAAGCAATGCCTGAACTGCCAGAGTAAATCCCCAGCGAGGCATATATAGTTCCATTCTTCACATCATCATGTAAATATAGGGGGTGTCTCTAGAAACTACAAGGACCTTCTGGAAGGAGAGTGGGATATGTATTTTTACACTAAAAGAATACATGACACAAGAAGGTGTTACAGACACTCTGACCAATGAGACTGATAATATTATAAACTGATAATATTATACCATTAGGTCAACACGTTAACACATGTTTCCCAGAGCAGAACAGAACCAAGTAAATAGAAACAAGAGCTGCACTACACTTCCTGAAGTGGGTCTAACACTGTGACTACAAAAACAGCTGATAGGAAGGTAGCTTCAGAGTCACACTCCGAACAGCAGGCAGGCAAGAAAAGTCATTCCTGTGTTTAAAATCAGCTAATGCTTACAACCCAAAACTCCAGGAAAACAAGTTCTCCTCTTCAGCCATGTGCAAGGAAAATAGCCATGAGGAAAGTGTTGAACAGTTTAGTAATACCACTGAAGTTACACAGGAGATCTATTTCTTTATTGCCATCAACAGCCCAACCTGGAAGTCCTCATGAGACCTTCTAAAGGGATAAGATGAACTTGCCTCAAAGTCATTCAGTGTTACCCTTAATCCAGGCAGAAAAACTGCTGCACAGGCTTTTCCCTTGAGGGGCTAACAGAATGCATCAGGACTCTTATATCCAGCACAGAAAGGAATGGTGCTACAGTTATGCTCAAGGGCTAGCAATTTAAATACTACTCCAAAACATCACAATCTATCACAAGACAACATTATGCATGTTACCTCTGGCCCAGCCCACAGCTACCATGACAAGCCAGGCATCTTTGAAGTGACTGTCTGCATGTGCAATGCCAGCTGTTATCTTCCAAGTCCTAGTCACTTCTTTCATTCCTGCAACCAGAAGCCGCAGAGGCAGAAAGGCAAAGCACCGGTAGAATATGTCTTGGGGGCAGTAAAACACAAGATACCTGAAAATCATGATAAAATCCATTAGCAACGTTCAAAAGTTTTTGCTAAGAAATTCACTTTCTAATAAACTTTAAAGATAGTTTTGGAATATGACTAGCAATGCATGATATACTACTGATAACTCACTGTCTTGCGTAGTAGACATATCAGAAAATTTTAAATGCTTTTGAGCATACTTGAACTCTTGCACCAAAATCATTAAACATTATTTAGAATTGTTCTTACTGCCACATTGTCCCAAAGAAGAATCCGTTAAAGCTCTTTCTCATGTACTTTAAATTTTACTAACTGTTCTATAGCTTACATATGTTTTTATAATTAAAATTATTAGAGTCTGACTGATTTTGTGTGCTTTTGGTTTTTTGTGGCTTACTTTTGGTTGGCTTCTTTGGTTTTGTGGGGGGCTTTTTTTTCCTGAGGATTACAACAGGGTGGTACATTACACACAGACACCATGCTCTCACACTGATAGGTACACAGAATGATATAACTTCAGCAAGAATGCCTCCAGTAGTTACTGTCGTGCCAGATGAACAGTTTTTTTTCCAAACACATTTCACATCTTGGTAACCACCAATCACAGCTTTTCCATCTTGCCAATTACAAGCACATCTCTTTTTTTCAAAAAGTTGATAGCACAGTTCTCAAAATCTAATAACAGCTTTTATCAACGCGCTTTTAAAACAAAATGAAGATGACTAACAATGAAATCCTAAGATGACAGTAAATTTCAAAAGATTAGATGATTTGGTGTTTTATTGTATCTCTTCATCAGAAACAAAGTCCAATTTTTACAGAGGCGTTCAAGGTCTCAAAAAATTAATGAAGATTAAGTATCTAGATTGTTTCAGCACAGGAATAAACGAGTATTAAGCAAAAAGCATAGAAAGCCTTTAAAGGACAGGGAGAGTACTTTTTCACTTAAAAAAGAAAGAAAAATAGATACTTGCCTGTTGGCTTAAGTCTTCTGAGCTCAAACCTGCCTACCAAGAATTTCTAAGGCTGTACTCTTCTGCTTACTCAGGCTGCAATACAGATATGCATCTTTCATATCTAGCTTACTTCATTGAAACTACTAGCAGACACCACAACAAGGAAAAGTCCATGTTTCACGGTTACAGATTAAAAATCAAGACAGAATCCAGGGCTTGAGTGATTTAGCAAAATTTTCAAAATGTTGAGACATGATAAAAAAAAAAAAAAAAAAAAAAAAAGGCAACTTATCCTTTACAGCACAATGCCAGGAAGCTTCCTCCCCAGAAAGGCAAAGTGTAGCTGAACTCCTGCCCCAGTTATACATTTTCTTTTTCTGCAGTGGACATAGCACCCTGCCACTGCAAACTTCTAAAGGTTCTTCTCTTCAAGACCTCCCAGAGCGTAGTGTGCAACAGTCTATGTGCCTGTTTTTCACATACAAGACAGTTACTGGAATTTTAGTAGCTCACTACTGCTCTGGTGCTCAGCTTTAGCTTTATTTTGAATAACTTACATTCTTACTTTTCCTCCTATTGTAAAGTCAACTGCCTTTGTATGCAACCAAGCTTCAGTTGACAGGAAGTCAAAGATGCACAGACCACGGATTTAAATCCGGTAATGGCAAGCAGCCATTTAAACCACGTATTCAACAGAGCACAATAAGCAGAATTAACGTGCAATTGCAGAACGTGGGTTGAGGAACCCCCAGCACAGGTAACGGGGTTACCTGTGGACCTTGGCAGCAGCCCCGCCACGGCATCTTTGCCCGTGGTCTCTGCTAGGGAGACCGGGTGACAGCAGATGTCGCTGTCCTACAGAACATTCAGGAGCGCTTGCCAGGCGTAGCACAACGCCTTTTATGGTCACCTTCGGAAACCTCAATTCACATGATTCAGGATCAAGAACTAAAGTAATCACATTCATGAAGAGAACTTCGTAAGACAGAAGCTTAAAAAGTTTTGTAACATTCGCAGCTCCTCATTAAAAAACTCCATTTTATTCGTGCACAGCCAATCACGTTTGATTGTGTTGAGTTCAAGAGAAATCAAAGTCCATGCACATGTACTGCCAGCTCCTGTCACTTGCTGAAACGAGCTGAAACTATAAAACCTAACGGGCTGCTAAAGCATTTCAAGCAGATAACACTCTTTTTTTTTTTTCTTTAAGACAGGAATTGGTATTTTTAAGTTCAAAAACCCACTGCTGCTCTCAAATTTTGTCAAGTTTGATTGAGGGTTTCTTCAAAGACCACTTTCGAAAACAAACAAACTGCACTGGAAGGCCAAATTCATATGAAAATAACTCCAGTGGTTTTTCTGAATTCCAAAACAGGCCAGACTGCTGCCTCATTCAGATGCCTGACTTCCCATTCAGCTTTATACCGTCTTCCACTGCAACGCGCATGCATTTGGCAAAGGGCAAAACATAGGGGGAAAAAAAAGAATGTCAGGAGGCAGAAACTAAAAGAGAGGAAAGAAGATCAGTCCCAATTACAGACAACTTCAAAATTTTTACATCAGCCAGGTTCTGGTCTTCCAAGAGCTACTGCTAATAAACTAGACCGCATTTATGACTTACCTATATCCAAAAAAAAGCAGTAACTGAAGTCCACTTTATCCCAAAATAATGTTTTCAGCTGTTTGACAAGGAATACTATAAAAATCTAAGTCAAGTCTAGTCTATAGACTGAGCATTTCGTTATACAACAGCCCACAAGAGTTGCTCTTTTAGGAGCATGTTATTTCTATAGAACAGGATCCTAACAGCTATTTCACTGCAGTGACTTGCTGGATGAAAATACAGCATCCAAATCTATAACATTTTTCAGTTAAGCTCCTGATTTACATGGAAGCTTGATGATATAGTATCAGTTCACAAAGTATAGCTTCCTCGGAACCAATACTGCTCATCTAACTCAACAGTGGACGCTTACCAGATCGAAGATGCCAGAAGAATATTCGTGCCCTTTGCCAAAAATGCCACCGGAGGTTCTGCAAGCATCAGCGAAGACAAAACTGAACCACCAAAGCAACAAAGCATAGCACTAAACCAGCAGGCAACTGGACTTCGGACTGACACTTCCACCACTCCTGAAACAAAGGGAAACGCGCATAAATAGAAGCAAATATTTGAAATCGTGTTTGAAAAGTCAGTATCTCTCAAATCACTCAGTCCAACGTTGTTTCTTTAGGTAATGAAGAATCCTGCGGAAATCCGTCTGCTTTCACAGGAAAAGTCTTTGAAAGTGCACTGACTTAAGCATACGCTACCCAAATAAAAGTGACAGACAGACATTGTGGTGTCTGAACATCTTCTGTGGGTTGATTTATTGTAACTATTTGGCTACTAAGCAGAAAAAGCTTTCAGAGCATGGCTGAGAGGTCTCATTGTTAATAAACTGGCATAGACATACAGTTGCTTTCAAATCTGTATTAAAAATACACAAGTGGCTTTGCTGAGCTAGACAGGACTGGTATTGATAAACTTTTGCAAGGCTAAGTCTACAGATTCCATTTCTGCTTTCAGTGTTGACGAATTCAAGGTCACTGTTTTCTTTTTCCCTCAAAACACCCTGCTAACTGTGTCTGCTGACCAAAATGAAAGCAGTATTCAAAACAATTATTAAATAGTTTCACCTGCAATTCTGAACAGAGAAAAAAAGACTACCTGAAGCCACAATAATAAATGTTAAGTCTCCCTTGTTATTAAAACATTTACAGCTTGGTTTACTTTGTTATCTTTAAAATTAATTATCCTTTATAAATTGCAACAGAACTATGCCAGGAGACTATTCAACACTAATAGATCATGCTGTAGGAAATAGGAAGCCTTAACCAGTTTCAAGGGGAGATAACACTTCATCAAAACCAGAATACGCTCAAGAAGTTGTTCTGACCGTTGCCTTCTACTTCAGAAGTTTAATGTTGTCAAAGCTTCCCCTTTACAGAGGTGCAGAGCTCTGCTTGCCTGAACTAGTTTAATTTTCCATAGTCCAAAGGCTGAAGTTCACAAAAGTAGAGACTAAACCAAGTGTCTGCCCCAAAATGAAATCTGACATATGTTCTCAATTCAGAAGAGACGCTTTTGTTTTTTCAAGCATTTCTGTGGGAAAAGAAGCTCCTTATTCAAGATGAGAAGCTCAAACGTACCCAAGAGAATGCAGCACTCCCGATGCAATTCACTTCACACAAGAGTATTAACAAGATTGTTCCAGTTTCCATGCTGGCACAGGTATTCCGTATTGCAACACTATCTGAATTCCTATCTAACAGCCAGTTGATAAAAATGAGCATTCCTAACTATTACAGAACATCCAACTATAAAATAACTTCTCCCTTCTTTTTAAAACTATTGCATAATTTATTTTCCATATTGCAGTACGTGGTGCTCCAAGCTGGTTATGCTCAGCTTTGTTATTGCATATTATCACTTCTCCACAGCAGCTATCAATTATGTTTGTGTGAGTAAAATTAACCAGAGAAAATTCTAAAGCCTGGTAACGTTACTTGGTAGCAGAAATAAAAATATAAATTGGGCTATCACTTCCAGATCACATATAACTGAATGTGGACCTATTTTCACCAAGATATTTAAAAAGGGTAACACACTTGCAGAATATTAAAGTTTTGTGCTTAATACACTGAGGTTTCCTCTATTAAACACAAATTAAAATCTAAAAATGCTGACAGCTATTGCATTCAGAAAAAAAATTTAAAAAAATTAAATAGGTACTCACTGGTCCAAAAGAACTACAGTAGCTTCTTTCTCCCATGTAATTATTCTCTTGTTTGACGACAAAGGTGCATTACAAGTATTACTCTACACCTACTTTAGTGTGAAAGGACTGACCTCCCTTTCTTGCAGTAAGAGAACATCCCACCTCCATGTTCAGCAGTACTCTCTCTGTTGAGCAGCTCCACTAAATGCTGCTGTGGCACTGTAGCATAAAGGGACGGTATAGAGAGGAAACATCCCAAACTTTACAGGACAATGAGAAAACCCAGCTAGCACAGACAGTCAATGTAAATCACAAGGCAACATGTGCTGGAACTGAAGAGTACTGCTAGCAGATCAGCTGTTGCACTATGCACTAGTTTTAGCTCCTGGACAGATATAATACAGGATGTCATGTGCACAGTAACCTGCCACAAGACCAGGAACCTCCAGGCAAGAGGTTCCCTCCAAACAAGACCTCCATGATAGGAAGTTTCTACATCCAAGAACTGTCAACCCCCAGGCCAGGTTTAAAAAAAAATATATATTCTTACATTCCAGACCTCCATTGTCATGTGGATGTGTACCAACCTCTCCTTCCTTAGCATCAAGTTTACACCCTTGCATTATCAGAGAAGTAAACAACTTAACATATACTTGACAGCCTTCATCAGACTATTGAACCACCTCTTCCCTCCCCACAAAATGCAGCATAACTGAGAGCCAGCTAACTGAAACTCAGCAGTTTCTTCACTTTGCCAGATCACTAACCTAGCAAAAGGAAAACATTTCAGGTGCTTTGCCTTTGAATTTAACACTCTGTATTTTATTTTTCACACACGGGCATATAGATTGCAACACAGCTGGTAACAGTTCTAAGGAAAAAAATTCAAGATTCTCATGTATCAGGTTTGAAAAGGTTTAAATTTATTTCCACTGTACCATTTGACAAGGTTTCTAGTTCAATGTGCCTTCTCTCCCATGTACTTTATTAAAATATTTAGTGGATTTTTCACTTCTTATACTAAAGTGCAGATTAAAAACAAATCTTAAAAAAAAAATTCAACTAAATATTGAATTTGTTAGTTAGCTACCTCTGCTCTTTTCAAGTCTATTTCCTTGGCTCAACAAATCATTGTTTCTCCACTCTTCCTTTCCCCCACAATTAGCAGAAAGTGGTTTCCAGTTTAGAGGACACATACAGGAATTACTGTTGTTACTACCAAACTTCCCTCTATAAGCAAGCTCAAAAACAAACCATGCAAATTTCTTAATTATGCCATTACCTGTAAAAAGACAAGACTGCAAAGTCTACTGGACTTGAAGATTTTTCTATTGGTCACCACCAGAATTTTCTTGGCTCAAACACCAGTACTTAACAATCTATACCTGCTATCTGACAAGGAATGTATCCCACATACAAGGCAATGAGGCAAAAAATGCTGATACTAATTTAAAATTCATCTTAGCTTTGGTACCAAAGTTATGATTGGGATGTAGCCTTTTGGAATACAATTTTAAGTGGTTCACATGTTTCCAAACAAGTGGTCAATTATATTTGTTCTCTGATGCATCCTGTAAAACTAATGAGGCATCATACAACAATTCAAAATATGATCTGCCAGAAGGCCACCAGTCCTGCGAACGGTATACTTCAGAAAGTAGAGATAAGGTTTCAAAACACAAGGACTATTGTTGAATAATGTTTTACACGTTGTTTGTAGACAACTGAAACTACAAAAAAAAATTATTTTAAACTGGGGGAAGGGGTGTGGCATTTTAATGACACAGTAATGTGGAATAAACCTCATGTGGCTCTGTCTTGACCATGTAATTCTTGTATCACCAGCCATTTAAAGTGACCCAGTTACTCCCCTGGGAAATACATTTACTGTTTTAAGTTTCCAAAAAGAATATATAGTAATGCCTAAAGAATATTAATTGATGAAAATATATCTATTCTGACTATTTCATAATGACTGCTGTTTCAGTTATGATTTAATATTCAAACTGCTTGTAACAGAGCAGCATGCAGTCATCTAAATTACAGTTATTAATTAAAACCATTAGACTCAAAACACTCAAGTGTTTCAACCTTCTGCAATTAAGATGAGAAAGAAAAAGCACTATGGGCACAGAACTGACCAGACTTCTGACAGAACTCATACTGTCCAGAAGTACTGGACTAAAGCTACACTGATGCTGGCAAAGCATAGACTCCCCTCAACCTGGTCTTTGTGTCCATTCCAGAGGAAAGTTTAGAGGTAGTGCATGGTGGCATCAAATAACTTTAGCCAGAAAGTATCTTTTTGAATATAAAACAGCTGTATTACACAAAGCCACAGGTCAGCACCCAGCAACAACTTTAGCAGTAGTAACAAAACTTGGTGAAGATGCTAGCATAGTAAGCACTTTATATCTGCCTTGGCCGTCTGCTAAGTGCACCTCCTCA